GGCAAATGAGAAAGGACTTTATTTTTAATTAAAAGTATGGAAGCAATTGATATGTATATTTATGCAACACATTCAAAAGCACTTTAATCCACACTTTATTATAAGTAAAAAATGAATTGAAAACAGGCTTTGTGAACAATTATGAAGCCTGAAACAAAACATCTGGACACAAGAGAAAATCTTTCTGAACTTGGGTCAGGCAAAGACGTCTCGGATACAACAATGAAAGTACCACACACAGAAGAAAACATCGCAAACTTGTTCTTTATCAGAATCTAAAAATTTTCTTCTCTAAAACACACTTTTAATAAGACAAGTCCCCAAACAGAATATGCTATACTTTCAAAACTCTAAAGATTGAGGAGAAATAACCCCAGTGTTTCAGATGGGCAAATATCTGACTTGCCGCTTCACTACAGAAAATATGCTGGTGGCATGTCAGCACTGAAAAGATGCTACATAATTAACCCTGGGAAAAACAAGGTCACAGTGAGACTGCATGACAAAGATGGAAGAGGGGTTACAAGCAAAGCGAGACTGGCAGTTCCCAAGGCCAGGTGCAGAGCACCAAAACTTCACACACTGCTGGTGGTGATGCAAAGCTGTCCTGACATTTTGGGAGATTAAAAAAAAAAAAAAAAAAAAAGGTTGGCAATCCTTCCCAACCTCTCTCTCCCTCCCTCCCTCTCCCCCTCCACTCTCCCTCCTTCTCTTCCTCCCTCTCCCTCCAGAAAATCCAATCCGGGGCCTCCCATAGCATGCACTCTAGCACCAAGTGACACCCTAGCCTGCAATTTCTTATTAAGTTAAATGTGTTACTATATAGCCCAGGAAATATACTTCTAAGCATTTATCCCACTGCAATGGAAACCTATGTTCATACACAAATTTCTAAGCAAGTATTTATGTACAATAAGACATAATAACATAACAGCTTTAAACTGGAAATGGCTCAACAGTTTTCAAATACTCAAAGATGTAATATATCCATCCCATAGTGTGCCCAGCAATAAAAGTCTATGAGGTGTCAACACATGCAAAAACAGCTGGAAAACATGTGAAAGAGCCAGACTTTAAAGTGAAACACAGCACACATCATTCATGTAACATTCTGGAAGCTCTGTGGATACAAGGATCTGAGGGAATAGAAGCCGATCACATACAAAAGGGTAACAGAGATTAAATGCACTTGTCAAAACTGATAGCACTCCACACTGGAAAGAATAAATTATTATACTTAATTATTTAATCACATGTTCCCTTTTTAATGACAGAAAAAGATGCATTCCAGAGAGCTTAGGAGTTCTAGCCTGCCTGGCTGTAAGATTATGGTGTCATTATTCAGGAAGAACATTCTTCAGGCCTGAGTCATGGATCAGAGCCCAGACTGATGGATGGACGCACACCAGCAAGTTCTGCCTTCACTAATCATTCCCCACCCTCCCTGTGGCTTCTTTTTTGGGAGGGGGCCCCTGGCTAAACACTGAGGAATTGGACACTGGAAAAAGGAATTTAGGGAAGATTCAGACAGGCTCTCAACCGTAGTCTAATGAAAACATCAACGCCTCCTTGAATCATAGAAATAAAGCTAAGTAGCACCTGGAAGGCTACTAAGTATGCCCCATGCTTCCTGCACTTAAACCAGGCCAGAGAGAGGGACATTCAACTTCTCTTTGGGGTTGGTATTTAAGATAGGGTCTCATGTGGCTAAGACTGGTGGTGACTTGCTATGTAGCAGAGGATGAATTCCTCTTCCTCCTGCCTCCATCTGAGATTACAGATGTGAGCCATCATAACTGACTCTCAAGCCCTTCCTAATGCAACAAAGAACTCAGGCAGGCTACAGGGGAGCCAAACTTGTTCAGGCTTAATCATCTATCATTCAAGAATATAGTTCAGTTAGTGGTTTCCTTAAAAGTGTAGTCTGTTAAGGAGAAACTGAAATCATTTCTGAACAAGTGAAATCTACTCAATAGTCCCTGAGTTTGGCTTTTATACTCAAAAGCTAATATCCACAACTTCTGCCTTTGCATACTAACTAGTCAAAGAGATCAGTAACCAAAATACAGCCCTAGAAATAATAATAATGACAGTTTCATTTTTAAAGAAAAAAGTGAAAAAACTAAACAATATACTTTCCTTGCCAAAAGCTATAAAGAACATAACACTGGGACAGGAATTGGGCTGCTTGGATTTCAGTTTTATTGGATTCTGTCATCCTAATTCAACAGTAAGTTAGTTTCATCCCTAACATATAACAACACTGGAACTCAGCAGAAGCACTAGCAACTTACTCAAAGACAAACAAAAGGCATCACCCACTCTAACTATACACCCCTTCAGGAGGCAACCACCAGAAACCATACAGTGGTGGTTTGAGAAAATGGCCCCCACAGATTCAGACATTTGAATGCTTGGTTCCTAGCTGGTGGACTACTGGGAAGGATTGGGAAGTGTGCTCTCCTTGGAGTAGGCGTGTCCTTGTTAGAGGAGGCAAGTTTCTGGGGCTAGGTTTTGAGGTTTCAAAGCCCATGCCAGGTCCAGAGCATCTGCCTGTCTTTCCACCCCCACCATATCACCCAGCTGTGGATCAGAACGTAAAGCTCTAGCTACTTCTCCAGCAGCACCATGCCTGCCTGCATGCTGCCTGGGTCCCTGGTTAATGGATTAAACCTGTGAAACTGTAAATAAGCCCCTAAGCAATAGAACAGTGACTAAAACACATATCCTTCATTAATCCCGCTGCCAACTCCACCCCAAGTAGATGGCTTATAAACATTAGAATGACAAAGGACATTATGAAGCCATTACTATTATTAATCTCCATATTTATTAATAAGGCAAATATGTACTGTCATTTTTTTAACACTTGAGGAAGTGAAAGGTTAGGAAAGTTATGTCACTTGCTGATAATTAAAAAGATGAGGGCCTGGTGAGATGGCTCAGCCAGTAAAACGACTAGTTCCAGACCCATGGAAAAGAGAGGACTGAGCACCAGGATGCACATGTACATACTCACAGATACATGCACTTACACATAAATACAAGTAAAGATAACTTCTAAAATAATTCCTACGCACAATGGAGCCTGGTCTTTTACCTGGAAGGGTAGAGTTTCCAGAAATTAAGATGGCTGGGACTGTGGGTAGAGTTGATTAGGGGAAAATGAAAGGAACTGGGTTTGGAATAAGTCAGTAAGAGGTGGCAAGTAGGTAACTAGAGAGAAAAGATTAACATCAGGACAGAAGTGGGTCCCAAAAATAAGCTGGATAATTTATAGGCATATAAATAATACTTAAGACCACAAATTCAAACCCTGGGACTGAAAAAAGGCTTTGATAGTGTCAATCAACCCTTCACTGATGTGGCAAACAAAAGTAAAAGGAAGGCACTGACGTTGGTGGGGAGTCAATTGAGGCAGCCACTATGGAAATCAGTGTGCACATTTTTCCACAACCTACAAAGAGAGCCACCACATGACTCAGCCTTTTCTAGGCAGGTGTTGGAAGGACTCTACATCCTATTACAGAGATACTTGCTCACCCATGTTCATTGCTGCTCTATTCACAATGGCTAGGACCTGGCCCAGGTTTTTCTTTTCATTGGTACATTCATAGAAATGAAGGTGCCTGCAGGGCGGTGGTAGTACATGACTTAGTCTGAAGAGGACATCAGATGTCTATCAGCTGATGAAGGAATAACAGAAATGTGATACATATACAGAATGGAGTTTTAATCATCTGTAAAGAAGAGTGACATTATGAAATGTGCAGCTAAATGGATGAAAATGAAAAAAAAATAATATTAAGTGATACAACCAGGCAGAGAAAACCAAATGCTGCACTTTCTTCATCACACGTTGATTTTAGCTGCAAATCGAATTCTGTGTTCATTGTGGAGTATGTATGGAAAGAGACCATTGGGCGGGAGGTGCCTTCAGTGAGGGGTTAGACAACTGGAAATGTGAATGTAGAGAGTGAGAATAGCAGTTATGGAAAAGGTTAAACAGGGAGAGAGTGGGAACAACCAAGAAAAAGCTATATGGAAACTTCCTATCTTGTAGCCAAATTTAAAAACATATTTATTAAAAGAGAGAGAGTTTGAAGGGAGATTTTCTGCATGGCTGGAAAAAGCTGTTCCCAGAATCCAAGAGTTATTAAACAAAAACCTAGTGCTAGGTATGGGTTACCTCCTTAAAACAGCCGGACATGGAGACCCCAGGAGCCCCAAACAACATAAGCCCTTGCCATCTCTCTTAGTTGCCAAACAGAAATAAACAATAAGATCCTGTTGCTGAAGACACCAGACACCCTGGATGCAAGATACACATAAATCTAGCAGGAACCAAGCAGGAAGACTCCTCTCTGCTAGGCAGCTTCCACAGTCCCAGAAGGAGAAACCTGGCCCAGGTTTTTCTTTTCATTGGTACATTCATAGAAATGAAGGTGCCCGAAGGGCGGTGGTGGTACACGACTTTTAGTCTGAGGAGGACATCAGATCCCCAGGAAGTGAAGTTACAGATGGTGTGAGCTGCCATGTGGGTGCTGGAAATTGAACCTGGATCTTATAGAAGAGTAGCCAGTGTTCTAACTGCTGAGCCATCTCCCCAGCCCCACAAAATTAATATATATTTTTTAAAGTAGTGACATACCTATGGTCAGATAATCACAACTGTAATAGAATTCATGGTTTTAGCCCTGAATTTCTTGAGAGCATTACCTGAGCATGTTCAATAAGCAAATTACTGTTCTTGGATGCAGGGAAGAAAGTTCAACTCCAAATCTTACATGCTGAATATGGAACCATTTCCTTCTGTGTCTTTAAAATGTTGGCTAGAGACATTAAAATATACTTACCACATTGTAGGCACTCTGTAAGTTTATTTATAAGTGAACACATTTACAACTGAATGAACAGCCCAATCCTATGCTGTGACACTATTTGAGTATCTAAACCCCACCTGTCACTGTACTTACATTTAATTCAATATTTTTACTCACCTTATATTTAGGCCAATAAAATTTGTCCATGTGAAAATATAATCTCCACCAAAGACCATTCCAATATAAGTTATTAATATATTCTAAAAGGAAAAATAGTGATACATTGTTATGTAAGTCCACCTGAGCTTTGGCAATGTACACGTGATTTAAGTACAAAATGTATAAGCACACAGTACCAACACAGATCTACCATCTGTGTAGCAAGATAAAGAGCAGGAATAAGGGATCTCTGACACGAGCCTTTCCCCAGCCTGATTCTCCAAAGGGTAAACACTCACCTACATGAAGAATACTACACATCATCAAACTTGCTCTGTCTCCTGGTGTGGCCAACATGACTTTTTCCTCCCATTAGGGTAAGTGTTGGCTTGTGAGGGGAGAGGAAAGAAGGTTGCTTAACTGCAAGCATTTTCCTTCTTTTAAAAATGAAAAGGAAGATGGAGACTGGACCAACACAGAATGTCTTTTGAGGACTTTTCCTTGATATCTTAGAAAAAAAAAAAAAAAGAAGAAGTAGGACCAGGCATGGTGGTGCACACCTTTAATCCCAGCACTGGAGAGGCAGAGGCCAAAGGATCTCTGTGAGTTTGAAGCCAGCCTCGTTTACAAAGTGAGCTCTAGGACAGACAGGACTACATAAAGAAACCCTGTCTTAAAAAACAAAATAAAACAAAACAAAACCATAAGAAGTCTATTAGTTTGAAAGGGTGCAAGGTTAAAGGAAGGGATCAAGAGAAGAAATGAAAGGAGGGGGGTAAAGATATAGTTATGCTTTAATTTCAAAACAATTAAAAAGAAATTTAAAAATAAAAGGCAATTTAAAAAAATTCCCTTCTTTGACTCCCAAGTACAAATATATTTTGGGTCCTTAATTATCCTCAGACTACAAAAGCAGAATGCAGCTTTCTAAAGCTTAAACTACTATTCAATGCCCCCCTAATCTCTCTCTTTTCACATAGTGAGTCAATCCCTACTTTCCCACCTCCTCCCCTTCTCAGCTAGTAAACTGCCATGAGCCGTGGATGTCACATTCTTAGTACCTGGACTCTACAAGATATGCCTGTGAGACAAAATTGAGGCTGTGTGTTCAAGGCTAGGATGGGGGGTGTAGCTCAGTGGGAGAGCACTTACTTCCCTGACATGTGCAGACCCCTGGGGTTTGATCCCCAGCATGGAAGTGGGCACAAAACACATTAAACCAAACTTTAAAAATGTCTTTATAATAAAATGTCCAGCTTGGGTGGGGGGGCATTCAGAACTAACCATGTCAAACTCTGATTCCACGATGGGGAGCTACAGATGTTCAGGAGTTTTAACCCACTGCAGTTTCTCATGAGGTCAAAGCCATTAGGGGTGCAGAGAAAAATCTAAAGCTAGCTAAGACCTTCCCTCTGCATTCCCTTCCCTCACTGCTGACTGACAAAGGCACTGAGTGGCAATTGCCTTCCTTTTCCAAAATGATCATAGATCACTTCTCTTGGTCTCTCCAGGCACCTGGGGCATTCTTCAAACTGAAGAACTAGGATCACTAAGTCAGATGAAAGAGGTCCCAGGTTTTGATGAGCATTAGCTCAATACTCATGTTAACTTGGCTTTTCTGCCTGAAGACAAATGATTCTTCCTTAAATAAAATGGAACAGGAGGAAAGACTTGACATGGAAATGACAGGCACAGCTTTTAAAAGCAGGCCATTTGAGGGCAGGCTCAGACCTAGGAAATTCCCCTTGATTTACTGCTGGCAGGCGTCACCTCCCAAAGAAAGGCAGTGCTCGAAGCACAACTGCTCTCACTGGGGGCTGAAGGGATGGATCTATCACTGTCAGGAAGCAGTCTACTTCTTTTTCTTCCTCTACAGTAACTAACGTGTCTGACTTTTCTCACACCCCCCTGGGATAAGCCACCTTCAAGTAGAAGCTATGACCTTCCTAAATTAGAAATCACCACCACAATGTGCTAAGCTAGTAAGCTGGCACACAGGAATAAGGCTATGAGACTTAAGGTTACTGATAGATTCTTTTAAATTTTATTGTATTACTATTATTGTGTATGATAGGGGAGGGACAATTTTGTGGAGTCAGGTCTCTCCTTCCACTTTGACATGAATTCTAACAATCAAACTCAAGTCATCAGGCTTACACAGCAAGCCTGCTGAGCCTGTTGGTCCCATAGCCAAGTTTTAATTTAAAAATTTTGAACAGTTTTTACTTATTTACTTTGGGAAGCACTTATCCCAGAGTGTGTAAGTACAGGTCAGAGGATAACTTGCAAGAGTCAATTCTCACCTTGTACCATGTGGGATCTAGAGATTGTACTCAGGTTGGCAGACTCAGCAGCAAGCATCTTTACCAACTAAGCCATCTCACTGACCTCCAGATTTTTAAATTAGAGGAAGATTTTTTTTTAATTAAGCACATTCCAAAAAGAAACAGTATCGTTATTTCATCTCACCTTAATGCAGCCAACTATTGTTGTGGTGAGAGCAGAATTATACTGAGTGCACAGTACTGTAGCATACATCAAGATAAACCTAGGGCAGAGAAGGAAAGGGTCTGTTACAGGCTAGAGATTGCTTTCCCACAATCCTTCACCAAGAAAAACAACCAGTGCCAGTCATGCAGGCTCCGAGCAACTGAAAGCTCTCCACAGCTTCAGATCCTTGAAACTGCACTCAAGAGACACACATGTCTGTTTTCTGTCCAGGTGTTTTTCCTGCTACCAAACCATGAACATCTCATTCACAATGACAAGGATTCCTTAGAGAACATCCTGCCTGCTAACTCACGCAAGCCAAACAGGATGCTCAGGCTCACAGGCCTCTGTCATCTCGGCACTTGCCACTAGGATAAAGTAGGGCCAGGATGAAGGCAAGATAGATTCTCAATAATGAAAGAAAACCAAATGAGAATTCAAGAGGGGATGGTAGGTCTGCTTAACAGCTACCCGACATTATTTGTAATGCCCAGATCACTGAGGCTTCCGAAGCACAGTCTCACTGTGTGCATGTCCAGTCACATGCTACAACCAAATTGGCCAGCTAAGGAAAATACACCTGGCAAATGCAAAGACCCTCTCCACTTCTACACAGAGGTCAAGTAGCCCCAAATTGAAATGCCACCACTGCCAACCACTAACCATGCAAGCTTAATTACTTAAGCTCTGAACCTTCTTTCTTACAAGTGAGGGACAATGACATATGTTAGATGTCAATATTGAGGAAAATGAAACAATGCAAATGGAAATATAATGGCTGTTATCAGATAGTGAGATGGTGGATAAATATACATTTATTTCTCCATCCATCTATGTGTGGCTTGGGAACAGTTGGGCATATTCCCAGGAAATGTGAAGCTACCAGGATTTAGAAGGTGACCCACTCAGGAAACTGAATAAGACACTCAGAAGCAAGGGAGAAAAACTCTAAAACAACTTTCTGAAATCTGTTCCTCTAGGAAATGATCTTCTAGGAATGTCTAAAGGCTTACCCCATCACACAGGAGAGAGTGAACTGCAGAAGGAACAGCGTGTCTGTCCAGCCCTCAAACTCCATCGCCTGGAATATATAAGAAAACACTAGGTTATTCAGCAGGCCCTCCCAACAGTTCTGTCATTAACTGGGGTCCTTTAGTTCATTTGCCACTTCTCTGCTACATCACTCCAAGGACTAAGAGTGATACTCAGGAGTTTCAAATATTGGGGGAAGGAGATGCCCTTTATTTTTAAAGGGTGTGGCCCCTGGCAGATAGATGGTCCCACTCCCTAGAGTGGGCAAGACAAAGTGGACTTGGTCAGTTATTTTAAAAAGGGCAAGGGATATGAAGCTGGGAGGTAGACTGGACAGGTGGTTCAATGGTTAAGAACACTTGCTGGTCTTGCTGGGTTCAATTCCCACCCAATACCCCTCCAGGAAATCTTACACTCTCTTCCGGCCATTGTGAGCACCACCACACATGTAGTATACATACACACAGACACACACATACCCAAAGTAGAACTAAATAAATTAAAAAAAAAGATATTAGGGGAAGCATGGGATGAATATAATCAAAATAAATCAGATGTAGATATGAGATTCTCAAAGAATTAGTTAACATATCATACTATGAAAAAGAATTGCAAATAGGTGTACATGAACCAGTTTTTAGTCTGTACCTTTCCACCCTGACATGTAGAGGAGACTTCGAACTTTCCCTTCTTGGTACTAAGAAACTGATCTTCCCTTATAGGTCCAAGTCACACCTGCCCAAGTGAGCCATTTTTGCAGGTGGCCACCAATCAAGGGCTTTCCTGACCCTCCTGTAGTGCACAGAAGCTCAAGTGCAGCCTGAAATTACATGTGTACCAGAAGCTGGTCTGGAGAAAATGAGTCAAAACAGTTTCTCCTCCTTGGAAGCTGTTATGCTGTTGTTTTTGGTGCTTGTTTGTTTTAAAACAAAAATGTAAAAAACCAAAAAAAGGAAGGCAGGATCATCTTCCATCAGAGGAGGGATAAGCAAATGTGAAAAACATTTCACCCTTTGTCACTGTGCCAACCTGTCCAGCTGCAACTCTCCCTGCATCTAACTAAACCCCAGTTTGTGGTTCCCACAATACCAGGCTCTTCCTGTTCATGAAAGACGAGATGAAGTTTCATCTCTGTGAGCCTTGGACTGGAATGCCCTCCCCATCCACACTGACTCACTCCTGTTCACCCATTAGGCTAAACTCAAGGCTCCTTCACAGTGCAGCAGCTGATCAAACACTTCAATGGTGCATCAGTACTTCCCTCTAGGGCTCTTACCTCTCAACTGTCTTTCTCCACCATGCCTACAGACTGTGAGCTACCATGGGAAGACTCACTTTCTTACCTAATCATACTTCATATATATAATTTTATGTGCACTGGTGTTTTGCCTTCATGTTTGTCTGTATGAGTGTCAAATCTCCTGGAACTGGAGTTATAGACAGTTATGAGCTGTCATGTGGGTGCTGGGAATTGAACCCCAGTACTCTGGAAGAGCAGTCAGTGCTCTTAACCACTGAGCCATCTCTCCAGCCCCCCTAATCACATTTCTAGCACGGCAGTTATTCGGCTTCTTCATGTTTTTTTTCTTTTTGAGGTATATCATATCAAAATAAAAAACACCAATTTGAAGTAACAATAGAAACAATAATTGACAAATTTAAAGTGCATAATCATTATTACAGGCAAGATAAGGACAACACTATCTATACCCAACCCAAACATCCCCTGCTCATCACAATCAAATATCTCCCTTATTCTAGCCCTGGAGACCTCTAAGGTACTTCTGCTAATATAACAGGCCTGGCAGAAATGAAGATACTAAAGACACACATGTGTCTCTCAACCTATTGAAACAATGGGCCCCAAAGAAGTAGAAATTTCCTCAAGAATTTCTTGCTGGGTCCAATTCCCAGCACCCACAAGGCAGCTCACAACCATTTGTAACTCCCCAAGACCCAATGATCTTTCAGCTAGAGTAGAGTAACACCAGGACAGCTTTGCTGTCCAATACCTTCAGGTAGAGCAAGTACATAATACAAACTCTTCTGAGTCTTCCTCCTTGCTCTGGCTTAACACTGATTCATTCGGGTCCTTCGGACATTGTCATGCACTCACTTGCACCATCAGTTATAACAGCATCCTTACCTGAGAATACAACACACTATGCTGAATCACTACTCAATGTACTTCTATTTGCGTGGTCCCCACATGATTTATTCTTAAAAATAAAGCTGCAAGGAATCTGTGGGAAACATCTGTGGCCACATTTTCATTTATCTTATGTAAAACCCGGTCCATGAAATTGATGGTTCTTTTAGTGAGCTCATCTTTACAAGAAACTGACAAATTGTTTTCCAAATTAGCAACACAACTTTAGGCTCTCACTAGCCCTGTTTGGGATTCTCATTGCCCTGCACTCTGACTCACCTAGAACTGTTTTGGGTCAGTCTACCAAGCAGTTAAGTAGTCTCCTGTAATCTTAATTTGTATTTCTCTATTGCTAACAAGTGAGTATTTTTAATGTGCTTACTTAGTATTTCTTCTTTTATGAAACATCTGCCCAAATAGTTTTCTCTGTGTGAGACATATACCTACCCGAGTATATATAGCTGCACAAGCTTGTATGTGTGTATGCTGCCATGCAGATGCCAGAGAAAGACCTCAGATGCTCTCCATAAGCTTTGAAACGGTCTCTCACTGAACCATTTTGGCTGGGCTGCCTAGCCAGTGAGTTCCACCTGTCTCCACCCCCTCATATTGGGGTTACTGTATACATAGCCTTTTATTTTGCTTTGCTTTTTATATGGATGTTGGGGATCCATTCTCGGGTTCTCATGCTTGCAGAACAAGCACTCTTACCCACTCAGCCATCTCCCCAGAAATTCCAAAAATTACATTTATTTATTTGGGGGGAAGAGAATGCGCATGCCATGTGTTGGGGGTGGTTAGAGTAAAATTTAGGAGAGTTGGTTCCTTACTTCCACTATGTAGGGTTCAAAGATCCAACTCGGGCTTGATGGCAAGTACCTTTACCCTCTAAGCCATCTCTCCGGCCCCTCCAAAACCTTGTCTTCCAATGACTGAGTTCTACAAGTTTTTAGGCACATTCTTAGTAAATATCCTTAATTATACATAAGTTACACATATGAACACAAGCCACCTGTGAATAACAAGTAATCAGCATTACGTACTTGAGTTCCTTCTCTTTAGCTCTAAACGTGGGTATGCAATTCTGACACCTTGGGGCACTGTGCTAAGGATGGTTTATTCATGTTTTCCATCGATAAAAGCAAACCAAAACAGTCAAAGTACTGCCTGATATTTATTGGGGGGGGGCTTCTGCAAAAATCAAGCTATTTGGCTCCCACAACAACTGTGTGAGATGGAGTCAAGGTCTTATTATCTCCAGAAGACAACACTCAACTAACAGCAGGCCAGAGAGCTAATATATAAGTCTGAGTTTGCATAGTCTAAGCCTTAAGGCTCTCTTTATATGGAACTCTAGATTTTATTCCAGTAATGAATATTCAGAAGGAGACAAATAGTTCTCATGGGATCCCTGCCCCCTATCCTCAGTATTTGGCTTGCCTCTGGAGAAAGTTAGTCAGCCTGCTACATTATGGCTTTAGCACAGGAATAGATCTTTGGCTGTAACTATGAAAGCAACAGCCACTTGGAAACACAGCTGCAGGATAAATATGACCCAACCAGTCCCTTCAACACACACGGGTGTCTGCTCCTGTGTCACAAGAGAGCATTAAAAAAGAAAAGCAGTAAAAGCTACTCCTTATTATGTATCTTAAGTATGTACCAAACTCAGAAATGTCAAGCACACAATTATAGCGCAAGGAGGTGTGTGTCTTGCCCTATAGCCTAGTCATCTCATCTACACTGAGCAAGAAAGAAGGCCAGGGAAACTGTAAGAGATTGGAAGGGGAAGAAGCCCTGAAGGTCTACTCTGCATTTCCTGCTGGTTTTAGAGTCAAAACTTTCAACACAACAGCTAAGATGCTAAAATCCTCTTATCTCAAACACAGGTTTTAAAAACACCAAGTGGATCATGCTTGCTTTGGATCAGAATGCTTGTAACCATTGGCCTTGCCCAGATCAGCTCTCCTCTCTCAAGCAACCCTGAACAAGGCCCCTCCAAAACACTTTATCTTTTGCTCACAAAAGATAATTCTTTAAGAGAAGAAAGCCAACTCAAATATTTTTACCTTTATTTTTCTTTTGCAGACAGGGTCTTGCTATGCATCCCTGGCTGGCCCAGAATTCTATGTAGACTAGGCTGGTCTAGAACTCACAGAGATCTGCCTTTCCCTGCTTCCCAAGTGTTGGGATAGAGGGCACATGCCACCACTCTCAGCTAAGCTTTTACTTGTTTTTAAGAAGTAATTTGTAAACACTGCTTAATTGTGTCAAGGGGAATTCTGGGGGGGGGGGAAGCTGTGTCTGCAAAGTCTGATGCACTGATTAAAACTGCAGTGACATGGAGAGGTTGGAATGTTGCAAGTCCAGACGCTTATTAATTACCTTATCTCAGGGTACCTTTAGGTCCCTGAATGGCCATTCCTTGACTACCTCTGTGTGGTAGCTAACATCATGTGACTAATAAATAAAAACATTTTGGAATCTATTCATGTAGCAGATCACCAGTGTCCACCAACCCAAAAGCTAAGAGTATCACCAGATAGAATGTGAGGTCTATAGACAAGCTTCTCCATCTTGTTGTAACTGCCTCCCTGATGTACCCATCAATATACTTTAAACTTGCCTTGACGCACACACACACACACACACACACACACACACACACACACACACACACACACGATTTTTGGGCCACGGTCACTGAAATTTGGCTCTAGAATAAAGTACCTTTTATTCACTTTAAGGTGAAAGCTTGTTTTTGCACCAACAATCATCTAACATGGTAAACTACATCCTTTGAGAAATGTAACTTCAAAAGCCACAAAATGATACAGATGCGTACTGTTAATAGCTGTTCTCTCTCTCT